GAGCCGGAGCGGGGCCGCGGGAGCCGGGCCGGGTCCGGACGGGCCGAGATGCCCTATAAACTGAAGAAGGAAAAGGTGAGCGTGGCCTTTTCCCCCGCGCCCCCGCCTCGGGGCCTGCTCGGAACCCTGGGAGGGGCCCGAGCCAGGCCCGGGACAGCCCCGGGCTGACCCTCCCGTCCGGCCCCGCGGGACTCCGGGGTCGGCCCTGCGCCCCGCGGCTGGCAGCACCTGGCCTGTGCCGCAGCCGGGGCAGCCCCCGGCCCTGCCCCGACGGGTCCCCCTCCTTCACCTCCCTCCTTCCTCGCGCTCTCTTGCCCTGGCCCCGGCCGCCTCCCTCCACATCTGCCCGACTCTCGGTCCCTCCCCTGCGTTTCTCCCCGCCTCCCCCGGCCCCTGACCCCCCGCGGTTCGGGACAGCCCTCCTCAGAAACTGTCTCTCCCTCCAGCACTGCCGCCTCCCCCGCCCCGCGCAGCCCCTGCCCGCCCCTTCCCCCCGGCCTAGGACGGCCTCTCCACATTTCCCTAGCGCGCCGTCCATCCGCGCCAAGCCCCCCGACCTGGAACTGCGCCGCTTTCTCAGCCCCTCCACCCAAATCTGGCCTAGGCCCCTCCCTCTAGTTCTTCCTTCACACACAAACTTGTAAGCCAGGACTGCGCCCTTGCTTCTGTCCATGGAACCTCGGAACGTCAGTGCTGGAAGGCAGCTCTGAGCACATTCTGGGCAGCCCCTGGCGGTACGGATGAGGAGACTGAGGCCCCAACCGGGGCAGGGACTTGTCCAAGGTCATACAGCCTGTTGGAGGCCCAGCTGCAGTATCAGGTGTCCTGACTTGAAGGACTCTTCTGTACCAGAGCCCTCCTACCTGGCACCAACTGGCTCCCAGGCTCATCCTAACCGGGACACCTCTCCTACTCTGCGCAGGCGCCTCCACTTACTCCTAATCCCGAGCTACTCGTCGTATTTTTCCTTTTTCGCACCCGTGCAGGATTTCTCCTTTTTCCCTGAGCCACACTATCCTCAAATCAGAAATTGGCGCTGTCTTGTTAGTTTTTCTTCTGACCCCGCAGGCTAGCCATGCCTGGACATCTATGCTGTTGCTAGTAAGATTGCAGTGCTGGGGATCGAACCCATGGCTTTGCGCATGCTAAGCATGCGCACCGTACCCCTGATCCAGCCTTGTGGCTCCACAGGCCATTTCTTGATGTTGCCTTCTTTCACCGTCCTCGCCTCCCTCCAGACTGTCTTCCTCTGTTTCTCGTCCCTGCCTTGCCTTTTTCCACCCTGTGTTTCCTGCTGTTGCCGAGGTCTGACTCAGAGGTGTGGTTCCTTTGAGGTACAGACTCACACAGAGGATGCTAGGATACCAGTTCCCGCCTCCCCCAGCTTCTCTCCCGGGGTTGGTCCCTCTTCGTGGGGCCAGCTCTGGCCTGGATTGTAGCCACCCTCCTGATGACTCCAGAGGTGTATGGCTTTCATTTGTCCTCTGATTGGCCAGGCTACTGGGCTGCCATCTCTGACTTTATCAATCAAATTATTTCTCCTGGGTTTGTTGAATATTTGCCAGGCTACTGAGATTCTGGGTTGTCCCTATCATCTCTCAAGGCCTGGGATTCTGTTTGTCTTTAAGACTGGGTTTTGCAGTTTACTTCAGGGTGGGCTTGAACTCACTGTGTAACCCAGGCTGACTTCAAACTCTAGGTGATCCTCCAGCCTCAGCCTCCTGAGTGCTGGGATTACATGCCTGTGCCACCACACTTGACAGGGCCTGAAATTCTGAGGACAGGATTGGTGATGGTGTTGTAGACTCTGGCCCCCTGAGGTGGTGAGCTGGACAGGGTTGTGTGTGCCACCCAGGCCTTTCCTTGGGGTTTGGGCATGCCACGGTGGTTTGGGCAGTTTTTGCTGTCACACAAGTCAGCGATACCAGGAGCTAAGGGGCATGGAGCTCAGGGGAAGTGGTGAGGTCCCCAGTCCTGTGTAGTTTTTAGTGTGATACACCAGGTACTGCCCCATCTGAAAAAAGCCTTTGCTTACTGGATGGTTGAGAAGAAAGGAAATTCTTAGACTTGCTGGGACCATGAGTGTATTTAGCTGAGAAAGTGTATTGGGAGAATAGGGCTGTGTGGGTAAAAGGCATAACTTTTACCCTGTATGAGACGTAACTGCATGCATTCGATTTTTGCCTGCATTTGTCCTCCCTCAATGGTTGGGAGGTTCTGAGGGGGAGCAAAGTGGCAGTGTGACTGGCTTGCCTGGGTGGGGTGGGGACGCGCAGCATGGTGTGTGAGAGGGGGATCTCTACCACTCATCCATCACCTGTCTCCCTCTCTTTCATCTCTGCCGATCCCAATCGTTGCTGTCCTTCACTGCCTCCTCCGTAAAGCTTTTCAGAGCTCTCCCTCTTCCCCTGGATGTGCAGAAACCTTGGTGGGCCAATTACGGCCCTTTTGTGTTCGGCCTGCCGTGGAATGGATTGTGGACAGGTCTCGTCTTTGCCCCTTGAACTCATCACTAAGTTCCATGTTGCTTTGGATCTCCCTTGCACACAGTAGGTGCTGAGTCAACATTTTTGGGGGGATTTACAGCCTGTTCTGATCCGAGACTTCTGATTTATGTTTCTGCTCAAAGCACCCCTGCTCCCTGCCACTTTCTTGTTCCAAATAATCGTAATAACACTGACCAGCAGTAGGGTTTTCATGTGGTAGTCACTGTCTGAGGAGTAACTGCCATTGTTTTATAGATGAGGAAACTAAGGCCCAGAGACAGTGGTTGCCCACAGTGACACGAGCATAGCTCGTCAGAGTGGAGCCCAAATACAGGCTGGCTCCACATCGCTCTTCAACCTCTGTGTCACTCAGCACTTGACAGCTGGGCTGGGCACAGTACATGCATGTCACCTGTTCTGCAGGAGCCGGAGCAAGGCTGAGGCCCTGCTCCTCACGCACACCCACACCCCGCGGCAGCTGGGTCTCTCTGAGGCCCATCCCCTGAGAGATGTCGCAGCATCGTGCCGAGTGCCACAGGGTGGGCGGAGGGGTACAAGAAAGGATAAGCAGCTTAGCATCAAGAAGTGTGATTGGTGAGGCAGGAGGATTGCTGAAAAGTTCGAGGCCAGCCTGGGCTACAGAGTGAGTTCAAGGCCAGCCTGAACTGCAGTGCGAGACCCTGTCTGGAAAAAAAAAAGTGTGATCAGACTTTCAGACAAAGGGTCAGCTGTGTCTGGGGTGTGGCACACACTCATCTTGGGTTGTGACCTCCCCACACGCCCTACCCTTTGCCAGTCCCATACTGTGACTGACTTCAGGGTCAGTGTGGCCACCTGGGCAGTGGGCATCAGTGTTCTTTGCAAGAAGAAGGAGCTCCTTCCCCTGTGCCAATGAACGCATTAGGCTGCTCCACACCCAGCAGTGGCTTTTTCCTCCCCACCCCCAGAAGCCTCCCCTACTCCAGCCCACACAGAGCTCTCTTCTCCCTCAAATCCTTTTGCCCCTATATTCACAATCACTTGATTTAACACTTCTCGCTGAAGGGGCTTGGCTGCCGTTGAATTGCAGACTCTCAGAGCTGGGAGGGATTTCCAAGCTCCTCCAATCCAGCTCTCATTTGAGGCTTGAATCCTTTTTGCAGCAGGCCTTAGAGGAGGTCATTCAGCCTCTGCTTGAATGCTTTCAGGACTGGGGAGTTTCCATGCAACTGTGCCGTGAGAAAATTCAGCCTGGGTTGGAGCCCCGACCCGTCCTCCTGCACCTTCATCCCACGGCACTGTGCCCTTGGGTCTGTGGACAAGCTACATCTTTAGTACACATGGCAGCCCTGAGTTGGCTGGTTGAGTTCTGTCTTGCTCTCTACCTGCCAGAACTCCTTCCTTCCATTGTGAACTCTCGAAGTTTCTACAGCTGTTGTGCCAGGCCCTGCTTTTGAATGAACTCCCAGTGCATTGCATTTTCCCCTAAGAAAAGCTAGGATTTCTCATTGTCCCTTCCAAGTCTGTGGCCCTTGACTGACTCAAATCCTCCAGGCTGGCCTTGGATTGCCAAATACTCTGCACAGGTCCGCTGAGCAGTGGAAGGTCCCCTGGGCTGTAGTGGCCCATGCCACACGGGTGATTGGTGTTGAGTCAGACTTAAACCTCCAAGTCTTTTCTTTTTCACATTTCCCCGTGTGGTGGTTTTTTTTTGGCCTGAAGCATAGGAAGAGATGCTAGCAGGCCAGGGCTCTGAGCCAGCTACCAGGTTCCCAGGGGAAACTTCAGACTAGTGCTCATTCTTTGTAGCAGTTCAGGGCTTTATCCCATTCCTGTCCGGTGCTCGTCAGTTTAGGTGCTCATGGCATTTTGGATGTTACACTTCTTGTACTTTTGACATCTCTGGGCTCTTTTTTTAAATGAAGTACTGGGGATTAAATCCAGGCCCTCAGCACTGTGCTACATCCCCAGCCCTTAAAAGCAAACAAAAAAACTCAGGACATGGTTTTGCAGTCACTAAGTCGCTGGCTTTGAATTTGTAGTCCTCCTGCCTCAGCCTCCTAGAGTGCTAGGGTTACAGGCACATGCAGCCATGCCTAGCTTGGCCAGTAGCATCTTCTTGTCTGGGTATTATTTGTGACATTCCAGAAAGGCCTCTTGGCCTTCTGGTCTTTGTGGATGGCCTTAAAGGAATAGTGGTAATTCCCACCCCTCTAGCATGGAAGCCTCTGGCCCCCTGTAGCCAGTCTGAGCAGCTTGTGCCTGGTGCTTTTTGCTCTGGTTCCAGCTGCCTGAGGGCATCCTGGGCCCAGTCCAGCACAGCCACAACCTGGGGAGGTGACAGAGGGAAGAGTCTTGTACTTAATTACTGTGTGCTAGAAATGACTTTCTAAGCAGACTCTATACTATTTGCTGCACTACTATTTGCTGCACTTAATCTCCCTCTGTGTACGCCCTAGGGTTGAGCACAAGGTAGGTTCTACCTGATGCACTGAAGTGGACAGATCATTGTTGCAACCAAGACCGAAGGGGCCCAGCTAAGGCCTCCACTAACCCTAACTCCATCTTCTTCCAGCAGGAGCCCCCCAAGCTTGCCAAAGGCACAGCCAAGCCCAGCAGCTCGGGCAAAGATGGTGGAGGCGAGAACTCCGAGGAGGTAACTACCGAGGCGCAGCCCTAGGGTTGCATGTGCTAGCCCTAACTCCTTGATGGCTGGTGGGGCAAGGGACCTTGGGTAGAGTCACTTAAGCAGCGGAGGTGGAGGCTGCCACCACCTGCAAGAGCCCTGGACAGCCTATCCCCAGTTCCCACAGGAGGTCCTTTTGGTTGGGGTAGACCAAACAGGCTCTCAGATTCCTTTAGATGCCAATTCCTAGGAAATTCATTTTTCTATCCACCAACTTTTTCAGTACTGGGGATTGAACCCAGGACTTGGCACTGAGCTACATCCTAGTGTACTCCCCGCTTTTATTGAGACAGGTTCTCTAAATCACTAAATTCCCCAGAGTTGGGCTTGAACATGTGTCTCATGATTTCCACCTCAGCCACCCAGAGTGCTAGGATTATAGGGACATACCACCATATCTGGCTTCGGCCAACTTTTGAGTATTGAGGATTTTTTTCAGAGGCTGGGGTTGGGGAGTAATTCAGTGGTAGACCATATGCTCCCATGAGTGAGGGCCTAGATTTGGGCCCTAACACTACAAAACAATATTTTTTTTTTTTAAGAGACTGTGTTTATTTATTTTTGGTTTTTTGAGACAGGGTCTTGCTGTATAGTTCAGGCTACCCCTGAACTAACTATATAGCCCAGGCTGGCTTCAAATTTGCAGCAATCCTCTTGCCCCAGCCTCCTGAGTGCTGGGATTACACGTGTGCGCCACCACTCTGAGCTAACAACACTTTTTTTTAGGGCAAGAATTCCTTTTTCTTTCTTATTTATTTTTTGAGACAAGGTGTCTAAGCTTGTCTTGAAGTTACCATGTAGCCCAGGCTTGGCTTGAACTCACCGTTATCCTCCTGCCTCTACCTCCCAAGTGTTGGAATTATAGGCATGGGCCAGCTGAGAATTCGTTTTTCTTGGGGCAGAGAAAGCTGGGAGGTCTGGGATCCTGGGGAGAAGGGGCAAAGTCCACAAGCTCTTGATGGGGCATTGAGTGACTTCGGCTCAGCTCTGGGTTGGGCGGGGGGCTGGGAGAAGCTGGAGTCCCTGAGTAGACCAGGGCAGGGCCCACAGCCCTTGGTCTCAATCAAAAGGCCGCATGACTCAATCGACAGTCCTGAGCAGAGGTCAGCGCAGCTCAGCAGTCTGGGGCCATAAAGCCATAAACAGCAGGCAAGGGTGCAGGAGAGGGTGGAAGGACTTGCAGAAGTCTCTGAACATGGGGTGCGGCGGGCAGGATGTGTAGGTGGCAGATGCTCCGGGATGTGTGAGTGGCAGCCCTACTGTGTGAAGCTGCTGGCCAGTGCCTTCCACTTCCTGCCCCTGCTCTGCACTGCTCCAAGGGACGGGGACATCAGAGCTCAGGCTTGCAGAGAAGAGGCTGATAAACCGTGTTTGAGGTTAACTGTGGGATGAGTTTTTCCGGGCTACTTCTGGTCCCTGTTACCTCCAAAGAGATCCAAGCCCCTTTCATACTGGTGACCATGGTTTGAGGCCTCACTTAAGTCAACAGTGGAAGCAGGATAAGTTCCACCCGTTTTACAAGTGTGGAAGTTAAGAGCATAGAGGAGAAATTACTCCTTGTGCTGTACTTACACAGTGGTTGGAATGTGTCCTGAGACTTGTGTTGTCACTGCTCCTCTGGCTTTTGGACACATTTTCCCAGGGAGGCGTCAGGTTTCAAGCCCCTTGGGCTCTCTGTAAAAAACTGCTCAGGGCTCACCCATAGAAGGCATCTGTGGGGATTCCACTGTGCAGTCTTCCCAGAGTGGCACCGTGCATGAGAGGCCCTGTCTCCAATGGTATCAGTGCATTGCCCACTTTCGAGTCCACAATTTTGAGCTCTTCTGGCCAAATTCAGTATGTGTCGTGCATTTGCCAGAGCCTTTCTAACTGATTCTAATAATTATAGCAGCTAACATTTACTTTATTGAGCAGTCATTTTATATTAGTTTCCTAAGACTGCCATAACAAATTAACACAAACTGGATGGCTGAGAACAACAAAAACTGTCAGGATTAATGGTGCAAGTCTGTAATCCCAGCATTCTGGGAGGCTGAGGCAGGAGGATCACAAGTTCAAGGCAAGTGTAGGCAATTTGTTAATTTAGGGAGACCCTTTCTCAAAATAAATGATAAACAAAATGGGCTGGGGTTCAGTCCCAGGTACTGCAAAAAGGAAGGGGGGAAGGGATGGGAAAAGAGGGAGGAGGGAAGGAAGGAAAGAAGAAGGAGGGAGTGAGAGAAAAGAACAGATCTGGAGGCCTGAGGTCAGATGGCAGTGGGTCCTGTCCTTCTGAGGCTCTTGGGCAGAATTTTTCCCACATTTCTGTCCTCTGCCCTTGGCTTGTAGGTGCGTCATTTCAGGCTGTGCCTCTGCCTCCCCATAGCATTTTCTCCTGTGTCTCTGCCTGTCCAAATTTCCCTCTTATAAGGACACTAGTCATTAAGGACACCCTAATCCAGTGTGACCTCATTTTAACTTGATTACATTTGCAAAGACCCTGTTTCCAAATAAGGTCACAGTCATGATTTTGGGTGGAGAGGCCCTGGGGGACGCCGCACCCCAGCACTAGGTACAGTACTAAGCAGCGTGTGTGCAGTGTCTCATTGGACATCACCCACTCCTGCTGTCCGTCCCGACTTCACAGATGAACCGAGGCTTAGAGGTGTTAAATAGCTGTTACTTGGGAGTAAATAGCAGAGCTGGAGTTCAGGCTGGGTCTGTGGCTGGGACAAACGAGTGACAGACTGGCTGTAAGATTCCAGAAGAGATCTAAAGTGGAAGGGGGCCTTGGGAGAGCAAGTGAGACTGTGACCTGCTTCTTCCTTGTCTTTTTTTTCTTTTTGGTGCAGGGGTGAGACAGGGTCTCCCTATGAAGTCCAGGCTGGCCGTAAACTTACTATGTAGCCCAGGCTGGCCTCTAACTTGCAGTAATCCTCCTATCTCAGTCTCCCTAGTGCTGGGATTACAGGTGTGCACTACCATGCCAGGCTTCCTGGTTTACCTGGAGAAAAAAAAACAGTACTATGGACTCCTCTGCAGACTGTGTCCAGAGTTCTGCAGATAGGGACAAAGGGAGGAAGAAATGATCCCAGTCCTTGTATTTGAGCCTGTCCTCCCTGAGGCTCCAGTCCCTACCCTAAAAACTATTTAGATCTTTTCAGTCCTCTTTCATTTTTGGTCCTTTTTGTTATTGTTCACTTAAAAACTAATCTTTTATTTTTATTTATTTATTTTTTATTTGGTACCAAGAATTGAACTCAGGACCTCATGCTTGCCAGGCAGGCGCTGTGCTACTGAGCTATATCCCCGGCCCTTAAAAATCAATCTTAGCATCTCATTCCTTACAAGTTAAAAATCTAGCTGGGCCTGGTGGCGTATGCCTATTATCCCAGCCCCTGGGAAGCTCTGGCAGGAGGATTGCCATGAGTTCAAGGCCAGCCTAAACTACAGAGCAACATCCAGGCTCAAAAAAACAAAGAATAAACAAGATAAAATCCAAACTCCAGTGAGGCATGGAATTCATGCCCGTAATCCAAGCACTTAGGTGGCTAAGGCAGGAAGATCAAGAGTGTGAGGCCGGCCTGGGCTACACAGTGAGATCCTAGATCAAAAAGCAAAAAAAGAAAAGAACCCAGCCAAACAAACAAACAAACAAACAAAAACATTACCTTTCTCAGCTGGGAACTGATTCTTCTAGCACCTAACCTGGCTCCTCTTCTCACCAAATGTCCTGTTTTCTGATAAGACAAACCCATCTATGACTCAGGCCCTCATACGTGCAGGTGCATTGCCTGGACTGCTTTATTTCCTTCTCCCCACTTTTTTTTATGTCTACTAAACTCAGATGTATCCTCTTTTTTGGTCTTTTTGAGGCAGGGTCTCACTATGTAGTTCAGGCTGGCCTTGAGTGCACTTTGTAGCCCTGGCTGGTCGCGAACTTGCAACGGTCCTCCTGCCTCAGCCTTCCAAATGCTGGGATTACAGGTGTGCGTCACCACGCGTGGCCCAGATGTATACTTAAAAAGTGAAATCAAAAGTCACCTCTTCAGGGGCATCTTTCCCAGTGCTCCAGGCAGAGCTGGTATCTCAGCCCTGGGTTCCCACAGGCTTTGTGGCTCTTGTTCTTGTGCTTCCTTGTACCCTTAGCCGTTTGGTGTCTGTCCCACTTCTGGACTGTGAGTGGTTTGAAGGCAAAGGCCATGTCCTAGTCACCTTTTAGTCTTTATGCTTCACATGATGCTCTGTGAACAAGAGAAGAATTGAGCACAGCTACATAAAGCTTTGGCTGTTGCGATGGGGTTTTAACTAAAATGGTCTTCATTTCTTAGGCCAGTTCATTCATTATGTGAAAGATACAACATTGAATGTTAGCATTTTTCAGGTAATTTTATATGTCATCTTTTCCATATAATACTTCCTATCATGCTTAAGTTACATTTCTATTTTTAATTTATATTTCAGTATCTGGCTTTATTAATAATGTCAGCCATGTTAGGCTGAGTTGGACAAGATGGGTTCAGGGTGGGCAAGTTTAGTGGGAGTCGTGTTGGGAGAAGCCTGGTACATGGAATCAGGGCACAACTCGGTTGGTGACATCCTGAATCCAGGAAGGGTTCTTAGCCTGTTGAGAGTGTTGAAGTAGAAGGAGAGGGAACTTCAGGCATCTGGAGAGTCTCAGGAAGATGGGGCAGGACAGAATAGAGAGTGGAGGGTAGACTGGCTTACTGCCTTTGGTTCCCTGCTGTGGTGGCTGCAGAATATCCTGGAGGACTCAGCTTGCTTCCTATCCCCAACGCAGATAATGCAGCAGTCAGAGCCTGGACTAACTTCAGGAGAAATGGTTGCGCATAGCTGGCTGACATGCCCCACATTTCCTAGGGAAGGGTATGCAGGGGGCGCCACACAGGGCAACCGGGGTCTTTCTTTGGTGACTGGACCAGCGGGTGCTTCCTGTGCCTGCAGCCTGGGAACCTGGGGCCTTATGAAACTAGGGTGAAGCTGGGTCTGGTGGTTCATGCTTGTACTCGCAGCACTTTGGGAGGCTGAGACAGGAGGACTGCAAGTTGATCCCAGGCTGGTCAGATTAGCAAGACCCTGCCTGAAAAAAAAGGATGGGGATATAGATTTCATGAAGACTCCGGGTTCAGTCCCCAGTATGGCCAAAACAAGAAAAAATAAACAGCACAACTGGGCTGACCCAGTGGGGTGGGGGTGCGGCAGGCCAAGCCCTCACACAGCCCTGGGCACACCAGCCGTCCGTAACAGTCGTGTGGAAGGGACCTTCAGCAACACGCAGGTTGCCTTTCCTTTTTTTTTTTTTTTAATATCGAGTGTGTTAGAGTACTTTATTTTTCTTATGTGTATTTTTTTTTTTTCTTTTCTTTTTTATTGGTACTGGGAGTCAAACCCAGGACCTTGCGCTTGCCAGGCAGGTGCTGTGTGCTGAGCTATATATCCCCATGCAGGTTGCCTTTTGTGCATTATTTTTTAGCCATACAACCCGCTGTTTCCGAGAATCTTACTTGAAAGGTGGCTGACCTAGTTTAACCCCTCCTGTTAGCAGAGAGAATTGAGGCTGTGTTTCCCTTTCTGGGAAGAACATGTCCTTTCCCAGGTGCCCCCAGCATGAGGTACTTGGAGGTACAGGGATCTCATCTGCCTGAGTCTTGGTCTTCTGCTAGCACAACCCCTCATCCTAGTGTCAGACGAGGAAATTGAGGCACAGGAAGGCTATAGGATTTTCTGAAGGCTGCAGAAAATTTGGGTGTGGTAGTGTGTGCCTGTCATTTTAGCACTCAAGAGGCTGAGGCAGGAGGATTGCTGCGAGTTCCAGGCCAGCCTGGGCTATACAGTGAGGTCCTATCTAAAACAAAAATGAAAAAACACAAAAAGATGTAGACAGATACCATTCTGTCTGTCCTCCCCCAGCCCAGAGAATTTTAGATTCCTCCATTCTCATGGTAGAGAGTAAGAACTTGGTAGCAGGCTGGGGAGGAGGGGAAGGTAGGTATGGAGACAGGAAGTCATTTTCCTTTCTGTGGTGTGGGTACCCAGCTAGGTCTGACCTCACTTCCTGCTTCTCCTGCAGCCTCTGGTTGGGGCTAGGCCTGTGCTATGGCTTAGCCTGTCTCCTTCCCAACAAGCACCGCCTGTAGGTGACATCCCTGTAAAACCTGTGTCGAGGCTTCCAAAAATGGGCTTTGTGGGGCTGACAGTGTCTGGAAGTTGTGGTATAATAGCTGGTATATGCATACTTATAATCCTAGCACTTTGGTAGACAGAGACAGGAGGATCACAGGTTCAAGACCAGCATGGGCAACGTTATGACTCAGACAGACACTGTCTCAAAATAAAAAATAAAAAAAGGGTTGGGAATCTAGCTCAGTGTGAAGGCCCTGGGTTTAATCCCATAGGACCTTAGGAAAAAAAAAAAAAAAAGAAACCGAGAGTAGTGGCATATACCTATAATCCCAGCATGCAGGAGGCTAAGGTATGGGGATTGCTGAGAGTTTAAGGCCAGCTTGGGCTACATAGTGTGTTCAAGGCCATCCTGAACTATGCAGTGAGAGCCTGACTCAAAAAAACAGAAAAGTGGTCTTTCTCCCATTATAGAAGTAGTGTCAGCACTATCCCAGTTACTTGGGGAGGCTAAGACAGGAGCATCCCAAGTTTGAGGCCAGTCTGAGGCCCCTACCTCAAAAACTAAATAAACTTTAAAAATCAGAAAAGTGTCAGCTTATAGAAAATCTTGAAATGTAGGAAAAGGCCTCTGTAATTTTACTACTACAGGAAACAGTCCCCAACATAGTGGACTTGGTCTTGTTCTTTCCTGCGCCGAGCCCTGTCCTGTGTGTGTGTTAGTGCAGGGAGCTCTTCCGCATGGCTGCTGTGCCCTGCTGAACTTCCAGTCGGTGGCAGCTGTCTTCTACTCTGCTCTTTCCTCACAGACTGACTTTTATCTTTCCAAATTAAGATTCCTTTACTGCTTTTTAAGAAAGTTGTTTTGAGCCCCTCTACTGACTTTCTGCTCTAGAAAATGAAGACCTCAGCATTCATACGTCTCTCTGCAGACATTTCCTCTCCTTTCAAAATACCACCAATTTGGAGGAACTACTACGGCGAAGTAAATATTTTTTACAGTTGAACCATATGAGATTACACTTAACTACATAGTTTTCATAAATGTAATTTTAACTCCATGAAATTCCAATTATTTTTCATTATAAATGAGGCCGGTAAGACTATCTGCAGACAGAGCACTTTTTTTTTTTGTGGTACTGGGGGACCAACTGGAGCTACATCCCCATCCCTTTTTTGTTTTTTTATTTTGAGACAAGATCAGACTGAGTTCCCCTGGCTGGTCTTGAACTTGCTGTCCTCCTGCCTCAGCCTCCCAGGTAGCGTGGATTACAAGTGTGCCCCACTGGATGCAGACAAAACATTTATTATTTCATTTTTTTTGAATGCTGGGGATCTAACCTAGGGTCTTTCATGTGCTAGACAAGTGCTCTCTCTGAGCTACATCTCCAACCTGAAAAGATTTTTTAAATTTTTTATTTTTATTCATTTTTGGTACCGGGAATTGAACTCATGATCTCACACTTGCCAGGCAGGCACTGTAAGATTTTTTTTTAATGTAAGATTTTTATTAAGCTAAGGCATATACTTTATTAAGTCTAAGGCATAGGAATGTATTTGTTTCTTTTACCTTCTTTTTCTTTTTCTTTTATTTATTTATTTATTTGGGGCTTTTGATTTTTTTTTTTTTTTTTTTTTTGGTACTAGGAATTGAACTCAGGACCTTGCACTTGCCAGGCAGGCACTGTGCTGGTGAGCTGTATACCTGGCCCTTATTTTGGTTTTTTGAGACGGAGTGTCTCTATGTAATTCAGGCTGACCTTGAATTTACTGTATAGTGCTGGCTGGCCCTGAACTCATGTCAATCCTCCTGCCTCTGCCTCCAGAGTGCTGGGGCAAGTGCTAGGACTACACAGGTGCATCACCACACCTGGCTCCTTTTACCTTTTAATTGAAGGACATCATGTCCAGTGATTTCTAGATGTGCTGCTCAGTGAATTTGGAGGTTTGTACACACTAACCCTGCCAGCTGCAGGCAAGAGGTATAATGGTTCCATTTTCCAGACCGTTCCTCAAATCTCTTCAGCCGGTGCAGCTACACTGCCGCCACTCCTGCTCTGGCAAGATAACCACTTTTCTGACATCTGTCACCATAATCCATCAGTTATTTTGCCTGCTCACAAACTGGAATGAACCGTGCTTGCTTCGGCAGCACATAAACAAATTGGGATGAACTTTTTTTTTTAAAGACAGGGTTTCACTGTGTTGCCTGGGCTGGCTTTAACAACTGGGCTCAAGCCATTCTCCTGCTTCAGCCTCCTGCGTAGTTGAACTTTCGGCATTTGCACTGTACCTAGCAGGGATGAACTTTGAAGGGTTTTGGTACACAGCCAGCGGGCATCCCTTTAGGAGACAGGATTTCTAGGGCCATAAGCCACCACTGCCTGTGTTCCTGGCCTACTTCCTCGGGAGCAGGGGATAGGATAGTTTCTGGCCACCCAGGACTGCAGAGGCATAAACGGGGTGGGGTAGCCCAGGCCCAGGGCAGGAGGCCTCTTCTGCGGAGCAGACCCCAATGGATTACTTGTTTGACCAGGTCCAGGCGCAGGCACAGCCCCAGCCACAGCCCCAGCCTCAGCCTCAGCCACCGCCATCCAACAAGCGACCCAGCAACAGCACACCACCCCCCACACAGCTCAGCAAAATCAAGTACTCAGGGGGACCCCAGATTGTCAAGAAGGAGCGAAGGCAGAGCTCCTCCCGCTTCAACCTCAGCAAGAACAGGGAGCTGCAGAAACTCCCTGCCCTGAAAGGTACTTGAAGCCAGCCGGGTGGCTGCTGGACCAGGTGTGGGATGCTGGGTGGTGGCAGAGCGGGGGAGGCAGGGGCAGGGTGGTGGCAGGGTGGGGAAGGGAAGGCGCTGCAGAGCAAGCAGGGCCTAGCATGAAGGGCCGGGAGAAGGTGCTGACAGCTGGGGCCCCACAGATTCGCCCACCCAGGAGCGGGAGGAGCTGTTTATCCAGAAGCTGCGCCAGTGCTGCGTTCTCTTCGACTTTGTGTCGGACCCACTCAGTGACCTCAAATTCAAGGAGGTGAAGCGGGCAGGACTGAATGAGATGGTGGAGTACATCACCCACAGTCGCGACGTTGTCACCGAGGCCATCTACCCGGAGGCCGTCACCATGGTGGGCACTGGGAGGGCGTGGGGCAGGGCAGGGCCCTGGAGCAGCCTGGGCGCAGTCTGACCCTGCCACACCTCAGTTTTCAGTGAACCTTTTCCGGACGCTGCCGCCTTCATCAAATCCCACAGGGGCTGAGTTCGACCCAGAGGAGGACGAGCCCACACTGGAAGCCGCCTGGCCACACCTCCAGGTGCCAGGGCAGGGTCCGGGCACTCAGACTGGCACAGGGGACCCCAGGCTCCTTGCAGAACATATCAGTGCATGCTCCTTTTCCTCCACAGCTTGTGTACGAGTTTTTCTTACGTTTCCTTGAGTCTCCTGATTTCCAGCCAAACATAGCCAAGAAGTACATCGACCAGAAATTCGTCCTTGCTGTGAGTCTGCAAGGTCCCCCTTTTGTGCGCCTCCATCACCCGAGTCCAGGCTGCTCTTTGCCTTCTGTTCAACACCCCACATCCGGTAGTGGGACACCATGGGCGGGCAGTAAAGGCCTGGGCCCGCAAGCAGCTTCCAGCATGATAGGAAGTAAACACATACATACACCTGCCCAGACACTGCTTTGGGGAGCACAGCGGAATAGAATCCTTTGTCTTCCAGAGGATTCCACGCCCCGAGACCCTCAAGGCCCCCTGACTAGGGTGCTGGGTCATCTTAGGCCAGCCTCCCTGGCTGCTGTCTCACTCAAGCCCCTTCCTCTTCCTGCTCCCAGCTGCTAGACCTGTTTGACAGTGAAGACCCTCGAGAGCGGGACTTTCTCAAGACCATTCTGCACCGCATCTATGGAAAATTCTTGGGGCTCCGGGCTTACATCCGCAGGCAGATCAACCACATCTTCTACAGGTGAGGCTGGGAGCCCAGGCCGAGGGACAGAGCCAGCCCTTGCTGGGGTGGGCGAGGTAGGGGGACTGTAGAATGTGAGAGGTACATCAGCAAGGTGTCGAGGGAACCTTCTCCCCACAGGTTCATCTATGAGACAGAGCACCACAATGGGATTGCTGAGCTCCTGGAGATCCTGGGCAGGTGAGAGGTGGGGTGGGGCCAAGATGCCTGGGAAGGGTCAGGGGACTCGGTGCCTTGAACCTGGGCCTGGCCCTCTGGTCCTAAAACCCTCCCTTAACTCCTAGTATCATCAATGGCTTTGCCCTGCCCCTCAAGGAGGAGCACAAGATGTTCCTCATCCGTGTCCTGCTTCCCCTTCACAAGGTCAAGTCGCTGAGTGTGTACCACCCTCAGGTGAGCTGCCTTCCTCCCAAGCACCCCAGCTGGCTGCAGAGACCAGAGGGGAGGGGCAGGGATGACAGTGAGCTGGTGGAGAATCCTCTCTGTACCTCCCAGTCCATTCTGGGCTCTTGTCTCTGCCACTGATCTCTGAGATCCCCACCTCCTTCATTCATGTCTCTACCTTCTGCAGTTGGCATACTGTGTGGTCCAGTTCTTGGAGAAGGAGAGCAGTCTGACTGAACCGGTAATTCCCCTGCAGGGGCCCCAGGCTCCATCTCCCCAGCACTTGCCAGTGTGCACCTCTTTTTTTGTTTTAGCCAGAGTCTCGTTATGTAGTCCAAGCTGATTTTGAACTCCGTATGTATCCTAGATTACAGAAGGCAATCCTCCTGCCTCAGCCTCCTAAGTGCTGGGAGTATAGGCATGTGCTCTATGTACCTCTTGAGGCATGCTACAAAGGTGTGCAGGTGGGGCTGTGGCCTGACAGGTATCACGGTTTCCTCTCTTACGGAGAAGTAAAGCCTGTATACACCCAGGAAGCACATCCATGCCAGAGAAGCACAAGCAGTTAGCAGAAGACACCCGGGGTGGGGCAGGGTGGCAGGAAGCCTCCCACAGAAGCAGGCAGTGTTCAGAGCTTTTCCTCATGTTCCATTCTCACAGGTGATTGTAGGACTTCTCAAGTTTTGGCCTAAGACCCATAGTCCCAAGGAGGTGATGTTTCTGAATGAGCTGGAGGAGATCCTGGACGTCATTGAGCCCTCAGAGTTCAGCAAGGTGATGGAGCCGCTTTTCCGCCAGCTTGCCAAGTGTGTCTCCAGCCCGCATTTCCAGGTGAGACTAGACTCACCCCGGCCCGGCCTGGCCCCTGCCTGAGAAACCCAGCAGCACGTCCTGAACTAGGCACACAGGCCCCCAGAGTCCCACCTCTCCCCACCAGGTGGCAGAGCGTGCCCTCTACTACTGGAACAACGAGTACATCATGAGCCTGATAAGTGACAATGCTGCCCGTGTCCTCCCCATCATGTTCCCTGCACTCTACAGGAACTCTAAGAGCCACTGGAACAAGTATGGCCCTGGGTGGGGCTGGGCAGTGGGGAAGCTTTGAGGTTTTGGAAGCTTTGAGGATATGGGAAGAACTAAAGACCAGGGACCTCATCTGGGGAACAGAGAGAGAGGGACAGGGAGAGGGGAGAGGGGGGAGGGAGAGGGAGATGGAGACAGAGAGGGAGACGGAGACAGAGACAGATGCCATGAGGGGCCTGTGACACCAAATAGCAGAGCAGTGGCTGTATCCCATTGCTGCTTGGTCATCTTACAGCTCTGGTGACAGTTCTATGCCCGGGGAAGCTGATGTGAAGAATCCCAGTGCTATACCAAGGCTTTCCTGCTAAGAGCAAGCACACTGGTGTAGACATGTCTGTTGACAGGAGACTGTCAGTGTGGGTCAAGGTGGGCAGCAGTGGGAAGAATATAGTCTTTGGAGCATGGGGTGCAGGACAGGCAGACTGATGGCAGCAGAGACCATGAAATGTAAGTCAGAAGGGGTATGATTCAACTGGGTTATCTGCGAATACTCCATGAAGCTTTGTGAAGTGGGGACAGTAAAAAAGAAAGCTCTTAGCAGAAATACCTCCTAGAAATGAGCAAATTGGGGTCTTGGTGCTAAGGGCAAGCTCCGACCTCCTGTACATCCCCTTTCTTCTGGGTGGCAGGACAATCCACGGACTCATCTATAATGCTCTGAAGCTGTTCATGGAAATGAATCAGAAGCTGTTTGACGACTGCACACAGCAGTACAAGGCAGAGAAACAGAAGTGAGTGTCTTTCCCTGGGAGGCTCCCCTTTACCTCGGGCTCCCTTTCCTTTTCTCAAGCCCGCCCCAATTCTACTTGTGCTTCTACAGGGGCCGGTTCCGAATGAAGGAAAGAGAAGAAATGTGGCAAAAGATTGAGGAGCTAGCCCGGCTTAATCCCCAGGTAACATTTCCCTGCCACTGTCCTGAACTCAGGGTGCATCTAGAGCTGCGGAAGGACTCTTTAGAGGAAGGGTTTGAGGCAGCAGCCCACAGCCCTCAGAAGTGGGTCTTACCACCTGCCCACACCTCCTGTCTCTCAGTATCCTATGTTCCGAGCGCCTCCACCGCTGCCTCCTGTGTACTCCATGGAGACAGAGACTCCTACAGCAGAAGACATCCAGCTTCTGAAGAGGACGGTGGAGACAGAGGCTGTGCAGGTGGGAGGGCCCTGGGGTGAGGGTTGGAGGGTGGTGCAGAAATAGATCTGGAAGGAAAAGGAGGTGAGAGCAGCAGAGCCAACAAATAAAGGGAAACAGTCTTTCTTGGACATTAGTTACTAATCCTTGTCTTCCTGCTCTCCACACACAGATGCTAAAGGACATCAAGAAGGAGAAAGTACTGCTCCGGAGGAAGTCTGAACTGCCCCAGGATGTCTACACCATCAAGGCACTGGAGGCCCACAAGCGGGCAGAAGAGTTCCTGACTGCCAGCCAGGAGGCTCTCTGACCCCCTTCACCTCCCACAGGGCCACAGCCCACTCAACCCCGGACGCCACCCCGGCCCTCCACCCTGTTCTCCCTCCTGGCTGACTTGGGGCAAGGCAGCACCTCTAGCTACCCAAGGAGATGCGGGCACTTGAAGCAGGGATACCCAGAATGGGCCCGCTTCTTCCTAAAATGTGTTCATGCCTCCGTGTGGCTACTACAGTTGGGCTGAGCACCAGTGCTTGGTGCTCAGACAACTTGGGGATGCCTGTGCCCCTCCTGCTCCTGACCCCACAGCTCCCTGAGGCTGCTCTGAGAAACAGGAATACATAACCTCCTCTCCCCTCATCTTCCTCTGATCTCTGTGTCTCTGCCTCTTCCCCCGCTGCAGAGGGATGCAGGGAGCAGCAGGAGATTATTCTCACCAAAGTTAGGCAAGCTCCATTGGCCCCTGGAGTGGGGAGCTGGAGAGTGCTGACCCCCAGCAGCACAAATAGGCCCCCAACCCCAGCAGTGTGCAGGCTGACGTATTATTTCCTCTAACCCTCTGCCTGACAAACACAACAGAGGTCAAAAGGAGAAGAGTATAGGCTATGGACAAGAAATAAATATAGAGCCCAGCTGGACCATGGCCAGGGAGGGTGTAGGGGATGACCAGACCCCCTCCCCTATACCCCTCCATGGTGAGCAGCAGCCCTGGGAATCACAAACATGGAAGGGACCACCCTCTGGCTGACTGTTTTCCTGTGCTGTGGATTCCCAAAGCTAGAAAGAAGCAGGGAGCAGTGCCCCAAGCATGGCTCCCCGACACCTATTTATTTCCTTGTTTGTGCTGACGCTAGGCAGCCCTTCACATGTCCCTTTTAGATACCTTAAGAGGGGCAGGGGGCTGGGGAGGGCTGGACCCAGGGCCCAGGAGTACAGGCAGTGCGGCTTTTGGCTGTGTACATAGGGTGCTTTATTCTCCAGAGTGATACATGCTAAGATGGGTTGGGCTTGGGCCAATGTCCCCATATGTACAGAATTGAATAAAGTGGGTCTCTGAGCAGAAGTCTAATTTGCCTTGATGTGAAAGGGAGGGAGGCTGGAGATGGACCTTACAATCAAAGATGTGTTCAGTCCTGTGCTGGTTCTGGTCTGGAATGTAGGGAGACAGGAAATAAGGCAGCTCTCAGTGTGGTCACTTCCAGGCTGGAGATGCCTGCCGGGCTTGGAGGGCTTTCTGCACCACATCTTCCCACTGGGCATCCGATATCTCCCGAGCCCAGGCAGGAACCCCTGGTGCAGGCAGACTTACTCCAGCCATTGTCCTTTTCACCAGCTCTACGTGCTCTGAAATAACAGCCACAGGCTGATTAGGCATATGGCAACAGTGGGACCACTCCTTGTCATTTCTTCAACTCAAAGTCCTGGACTGTCACCAAATCCATCTTGATAACCTGTACACAAGCCTGGCCCACCTCCCGGTAACAGTAGCAAAATTATTTTTTGTCTTTTTGAAACAGTTTCACTATGCAGTTCAGGCCAGCCTTGAACTCACTTTGTAGCCCAGGCTGGCCTCAAACTCAGAACTCACAGTGATCCTTCTGCCTCAGCCTCCCAAATGCTGGGATTACAGGCATATGCCACCATGCCCAGCCAGCAATTCTGAATTCTGAAGTTTGTAAAACGTTAGGTACAAATAAGTTTTCTAAGAGTAAGGTGTTTCTCCCAAACTTCCCACTACTGGCTCAGGTCTGCACTGATCATGGTTCCCGAATGAAAGCAGAGGTTTTTACCGGGGTCCATGGGAATGGAACTGTGGCTGCTCAGTGCTGCGGCTCCTTCTTCATCTTCGTCCTCACTCTCTAATGGTGGGTCTGGCAAATGAAGCCCCAGGGCCTGCACAGCCAAAGAAGGCAGCTCGGGTCCAGTCTTTTGGGAAGTCACCCGCTCAGGAGTAATTCCCACCCCCACTGTACCTGGATCCGATCTTGGATGTCAGCAACTACATCTTCTCCGTCTCCCAAGGGTGCCAGCTCCACCTCTTCGGGCTCAGGATCTTGGTTCAGCGGCTGATAGGAGTAGCCAGCTGGGCCTGGCCCTGTGTCCTCCTGCTCCTCCTCGGGTTCCTCACTGCTCCAATCTCCGGTGCCTTCTGTGGGGCTCTGGTGGGGCCCCAGGTCCTCGCTTTGGTTGGGGAAGATACGCTCAGGACCCATGATGTCTCCCGTTAGAACTGCTGCTGCCATGCGGGCTGGGGCTGCAAGAACGGGGGTGATAGGGACCAGGTGAAACCAGCCCACCTTCTCCATCTCGTCCAGGAGACTAGCTCCGCTCCTCACGGTCCCCGTATCATCCTCGCTCCTTCCCGTCTCTGGTTCCTCCCCACTCAAGTCGGGGGCTCCTACACAGAACCTAGCCCCACCCGCCAAGCTCCCCCAATTCCTAAATTCACAGCCCAACCCGAAACACCATCCCCCCTCCCGGACCCCCAGCTTCCAGAACCCCAGCGCCACGCCCCTCGGGCCCCGAGAACGCGAGGCTGCTGACTCCCCTAAGCCAAGACGTGCCCGTCCTCCCGCCCCCACGTCCTCGAGACGCCCCTAGATACAGCCTTGCGAGAGCCAGGCCCAGTCGCGGCGTCCCTGCCCCCTCCCACCGACTCTCTGTGCCGGCGTACCCCCGCGCCTCACCCTCTTGCAGCCCGCGGCCCGACCCGCACCTTCACTTCCGGCCCGGCAAGAGGCGCCGGGGCGCCGGGTCCTCCAGCCCCGCCCCGTATCCCTGACTGACGCGAGCGAGGACGAGGAGTCCACCCCTCGCCCCGCCTCCGCCATCCCTGGCTCAGATAACAAAGAACTACATTACCCAGTGACCCCCGCGCCCCGAACACAGCTCTGCACATGCGCAGAATCTCTCCGTCGTGTCCGGTGCACTCTGTAGCCCTCCCGACCCCTCTGGAAACCTGTGGACTACAAGTCCCAGAAGGAGTCAGCCCCGCCCCCCCCAGGTCGGACCGCGCGTGCGCCCCCCGCTGCCCGCCGGAAGACGGAGCTTGGCTGTGTTTATCTCGTTGGAGACCTAGGCGTCGGTTGGCACGCTACGGGTTCTAGGCTGCAGGCAGCGCGAGGACCCGCGATCCCACCCCGGCCCGGCCTGGCAGGTAGCCTGGGATGGGTTGAGAGGCAAGGAAGAGTTGGGGGGGGCTAGTAACGCCCTTGTCTGAAGCTGGAGTCGTGGGGGAGGGGCCGAGAGTAATGCGGTGGTGGTGGGAAGGGAGCTGGGGGATGATGGGAAAGGAGTGTTAATGGGGGAACGGTGCGATGGGGAGAATGGTAGGGAGACGGTTGGGTGAGACCTGGTGGCTGGAGCAGGCAATGAAGGAAACTGAGGGAAGGCTGCGTTGTGAGGAGGAAGAGAAAGCTGAGCAGAATAGAAGAGGGGAGTGTGTGTGTGGCAGTAGGGGAGGCTCAGCAGGGATGGGGTCATACTCAGGGAATATATGAATATCCCTGTGGCTGAAAGAGGACAGTGAATTATTCGTTTTTCTTTTGGTGGAGGTAGAAAAATGGATGCTTCTTGAGTGGATCTTGAAATTGTATAAGGAAGAATGAGGAAAAAATGCAAAGCTTTCAGATTAAGAATAATCACAAAGGGGGGTGAGAATTGCAAGAGAGCACGGAGGGGAATGGATACTTTAAGGGAATAGAAACAGCTTGAAAATGCCATAGGGATAGAGAAATGGGGAGACCCAGATAAGAGGAGCCCTTGGTACACAGGGGTTTGCTCTTCCTGCGACTGTGTTGTCCTTATGGAGGAGAAGCTAAGGTGTTTTGGCCACCTTCCCCGGAATTGCTTGTCTCTTCTGTGTACACTTCTTGCTTTACCTGGCTGTATTTGAAGGGTGGGTAGAGGCAGTGGGGAAGATGAAGGACTTGGCTTTTTAAGCCCTTCACTTCCATAAGTGCCCGCACAAGTCCAGGTCCAACACACTTTGGATTGAGAGCTGGAGTAATGAAGCCAGAGTAGCTTCTGGCTGGGGCTATTTCAGATTGGGTAGGGTGGCTATTTAAAGCTTGGCGTGGGCTGGGAGGAGGTTGAGTGGGTGAGCCTGGCAAGCTGGTTGAAAGCCATGTCTCCTCTCAAGGGGCCTCCCTTACTTGAGCCGTGTGTTTGTGTGTGTGTGTGTGTGTGTGCACGCGTGCGCATGTGTGTGCCTGTGTCTGGGCTTCTGCCTTGTGCTTCTCTTTGCTAAGGCTTTTTGGACAGGGAGCAGATGATCCGCCCAAACCCAGCAGGTGCCAGCAGAAGCCTTGCCAGTTACAAGAGAGTTTGCCTGAAAGAGCCTTCAAATTATCACTAAGTTGGCAGGTTGTCTCTTAAGAGACCATGATCTCTCCTGCCTGGGTCTTTCTCTTTATCCCATCCAAGGGCATTTATCCTTCCTGTCTCCTTTCCAGTGCACACCCCACCCTTTCAGGGCCCCAAGTAGGGGAAGAACTGCTGGAAATGGCTTGTTCTCTACCACACAGGGTTGGGGAAGTGGCAGAAGGAGGAAACCTCTTTCCCTACCCCCAGACCCAGCATACACATACCATCCTGGTTTAAGTTTCCAGTTCTGGCAGCATACCAGGCACAGCTGTCAAACGAACTCTTCATGACTGTGGGGGCCCTGGGTGACCCCAGGGACAGCGGCTCAGCTTGACAAGAACTCCCTGTGAGGGGCTAATCAACTATGGTAACATGGGGTTCCCTGCCCTGGGCACTGTTCTACTTTAAAAGCTTTTTTACTTCAAAGCACCCATGCCAGCTTTCAGTGGCTGTCTGGGGCTGGCTGGGCTATTAATAGCTGTGTGTATTTTGATATCACCACCTTTAAGAGTACAGAGATTCTTAGAGAGGTGGCAGAGAACAGAGCCAGAGACAAGGGAGCATACCCGCCTGGGAAGGGGGCTTGGAGCTTATTCCAAACAAAGCACAGGGTGGAGCCTGCATGAATGGGGTGGGGGTGACCATGATCATCCAAGTCTGAGCTGGCAATCAGGTTGAGGCAGCCCCACTTTTTGATGTGGGAAAGCACAGGCCCAGGACTCGCTCCTTGACCTCACTAGCTCCCTGAGGGCAGGGCCAGCCACCTGAGCTGACTAGTGTTCCTGTGGAGGGGTGGTGTGGGAGTGCCAGGGTGACACTTGGAGGTGAGGGCTCATCCTGGGCAGTCTCAGTGAGCCTGGCAGAAACCTTGCCTGAAGAGCCCGTGGCCCTGATTTTGCATAGGTACCAGAGGCAACGGGCCGTGCCGGGGGGGCATGTTGCTGTGACCAGTGGCCCAGGGGATGTTACGGTGGACGGTGCATCTGGAGGGAGGGCCACGCAGGGTGAACCATGCTGCAGTGGCTGTTGGGCACCGGGTATACTCCTTTGGGGGTTACTGCTCTGGTGAAGACTATGAGACGCTGCGACAGATAGATGTTCACATTTTCAATGCAGGTAAGCCAGTGCTGACCCTGTCCCTGGGTGCCCATGGCAGGGAGGGGGGTGGGCGGCTGGATGAATTTTGGTGGTGGTTCTTGTGGCCAGGGGGGTTGGGATGAACGCCTGGTTTGGGAAAAGGTGGACAGCTGAAGGAGGCTCCCAGGGCTGAGCAGAGCTTTGCCCACAGTGTCCTTGCGTTGGACAAAGCTGCCCCCAGTGAGGCCAGCCATCCGAGGGCAGGCTCCTGTGGTTCCCTACATGCGGTATGGACACTCAACGGTCCTCATCGATGACACGGTCTTCCTTTGGGGCGGGCGGAATGACACTGAAGGAGCCTGCAACGTGCTCTACGCATTTGATGTCAGTGAGTAGGGGTCTCAGAGAGAAGCTGTGTTCTGCCAGATGGTGCCAAGGGACCTGGGAAAGGTGTGGGTTGAGCCAGGGGGAATAGGGTACCCAGAGGTTAGGAGGGTGCTGACCTGGTTCATTCTTTCACTTCCTTCAGGTACTCACAAGTGGTCCACACCCCGAGTGTCCGGAGCAGTTCCTGGGGCCCGGGATGGACATTCTGCTTGTGTCCTTGGCAAGATTATGTACATTTTTGGGGGCTATGAGCAGCTGGTAAGCCTGGGGAAAAACCAGAGGTTTAGTATAGGAATGAGAAAGAGGAAGGAGAATTAAATGTAGTGGAATGGGAAGCTTTGGCTGTTTGCGGGTTTTCAGGGAAAGGCTGGAGGGTCAGTGTGACCTTGGCCCCCGCTTTTCCTCCTTTCTGTTCTCAGGCAGATTGCTTTTCCAATGACATTCACAAGCTGGATACAAGCACCATGACATGGACCCTTGTTTGTACAAAGGTCTGTCTTTTTTTCCTCCTCTAAGAGCCCTACCCTTCATAGAAGAAATGGTGCGAGGTCAAACAGAGAGCAGCTTCCCTCCACCACCCATGCTGACCTGCCCTGCCTTTTCTGCTCCTGACTAGGGCAACCCTGCACGCTGGAGGGACTTCCACTCTGCCACCATGCTGGGCAGTAACATGTATGTCTTTGGGGGCCGTGCCGACCGCTTCGGGCCGTTCCATTCCAACAATGAGATTTACTGCAATCGCATTCGTGTCTTTGACACCAAAACCGAAGCCTGGCTGGACTGTCCCCCTACACCAGTGCTGCCTGAGGGGCGCCGGAGCCACTCAGCCTGTGAGTATCTGTTATTTCCAGGTGGAGTCTTGTCCTACCCTCCTCACTTTTTTTTTTCACTTTTTTTTGTTTTTTTTCTGGTACCGGGAATCGAACCCATGACCTTGCGCTTGCCAGGCAAGCACTGTGCCACTGAGCTAAATCCCCAGCCCCCCCTCCTCACTTTTTTGAGGCAGGGTTTTGCTAAATTGCTAGGCTAGGCTGGAATTCAAAGTCTTTCTCCCTCAGCCTTCCATAGTGCTGGGGTTACAGGTGTGCGCCACTACCCTCTGTACTGTTGACATTCCTCTGTCCTTCCAGTTGGCTACAATGGGGAGCTGTACATCTTTGGTGGCTATAATGCAAGACTGAACCGGCACTTCCATGACCTTTGGAAGTTTAACCCTGGTAAACAGCACTACTTTTGGGGGAGGAACAGGAACCACTGAGGTGGGAGGAAAAGAATAACTCCTGAGTAGATGAGGGGTTGGGGAGTGGAGGTACCTGGACTGGGCAGGTATTGAACGTGGGTGTAAACTTCTCTTTAGTGTCTTTTTCCTGGAAAAAGATTGAACCGAAGGGGAAGGGACCATGTCCTCGCCGTCGCCAGTGCTGCTGTATTGTTGGTGACAAGATTGTCCTCTTTGGGGGTACCAGGTTAGGAGAAGGGGGGCTCACGGAAGGGCAGAGCCTGTGACTAATGGGAGGAAGAGGGCCTTGTGGAGAGTCTTCCCTCTTACCTTCAGCTCTTTCGATCCCCACAGCCCATCTCCTGAGGAAGGCCTAGGAGATGAATTTGACCTCATAGATCATTCTGATTTACACATTTTGGACTTCAGTAAGTAGTTACTTCCGAAGTGCTTCTGCCAGCTGGGCGCCTATGTCTGGGTGGTGCTATCTAGGTCTGGACGTTTTTTGGCTTTAATCAGCTCCCTTCTCTAACTCCTCCCTTTAAGGCCCGAGTCTGAAGACTCTGTGCAAACTGGCGGTGATTCAGTATAACCTGGACCAGTCCTGTTTGCCCCATGACATCAGGTACAGTAAGTGCTTGCAAAGGAGGAACTGGCTGGGGGGGGGGTGTGAGTGAGCAGCACAGGTGTGACCTGATTAGCTCACTCAGTGTGGAGGACGCAGGCGTTTTTGTCCTGCTGGAGATGTAATGTTCTTGTGAGTAATGAGAAGGAAGAAGCTATACCTACCACCATGTAATAAAACTGTCAGCTGGGCAAACAATATTGAAAATAAATACAGTTTTTTGAATGAAGCTCAGAGAGGCATCACTTCCTGAGACCTGAGCTTACAGAGTTACTTTTGTTGATAAGAATGGCTGATGAGCTCTTTCAAAGTAAAGTTCAGGAGCCTTTGGATCACTTTAGTTCTAGAATTAAGGAAGGCCGTGGCTCCTTACCTCTGAATTCCATGCTTAGGTACAGGTCAAGAACCAAGGGTTAAACTAGGTCATTCTGAGACACTTTTCGCTGCTAGTGTCACTTCACTTTTACTTGCTGAGAGTCTGTGTGTTCCATATTTGATGACAGGGAGGATACAGGTTGAACTGGTGGGTCTCAGGCTGGTCCAGGATTGACACACGTGCAAGTGCCTGACACCAAGTAGACTGCTTAGGTCTTGGCATAAGGAGGTACTTGCTCAGTCTTTGTAGAATGAAAGAATTGTGGAAAGAGAACAATTTAATATGGTGGGTTGGGTGGGGGAGGCCTCGGAGGGGAGGAGCTCTGAGTCAGGCCCTGTATAAAAACATCAACAGGAAATGCACATGAGCTTGGAGGTGGAAGAGTGGGTGGCAGGCCCTGTCCTGGGTGGAGACTGATCCTTAGACCTAGTGGGGCTGACTGGAAGAGGTGGCTGTGGGTGGTTCTGCTTTAGAAAGGCATTGCTGTGTTCATAGCTTCATTCCAGGAATTCTGGGCTTGGGGTTGGGGCTCCCCCTCTGCCCTTCTGAAGACTGTTGGTCCTCCAGGTGGGAGCTGAACGCCATGACCACCAACAGCAATATCAGTCGCCCGATTGTCTCCTCCCACGGATAGGAGTCTACCGCCTCCCTCCTGCGCCTGCTGTAGTCTTCAGTCCCTGCCACCTCTTTCACCTGCCTGCCCCCTTTGGACCCGGACTCAGTTACCTCCACGTGGAGCTGTTGGACTAGAGGTGTTTCCGTGCTGTGAATTCAGTGGGGAGCTGGCGGGAGCGAGGGCCAGGTCCCTCTCCCGTCGGGCCGAGGGCCCCTTCCCCTTGGTGCTCTGTTCCCATCCACCACCCTCCAGCTGCTCCTGGGCCTCTGTTCTGCCCCAGGCTGGCCAGTAACCAGGCTCTGCTGGGAAGGGAGGCGAGTGGGGAGAAGGGAAAACCACACAGTGGCCGAGCCTCAGGAGCCCCCCTCTCCCCCACCCCCTGCCGTCCTCCCTGCTTGAGCATTGCCTGGCAGCTGTGAGGAGCTGCAGCTGTTGGCGCGCGACCTCCTCTCCCGGACCTGGGGAGGCGGGGCCCAGCCGATCACCCCACCCCTCCCTGAGCTGCTGCTGCACCCTGAAGCTCAGCCAGCTCAGGTTTTATAAAAATGAAGTAAAACCTGCCCGTGTGTGGCGTGTTCTTGTGGAACAGCGTAGAGAGGGAGGAGTTTGCCGTGGGGCCAGGGACCAAGGACGGGCACCCTGAGGTTCGGGTTTCCCGGCAGGACTGTTAGAAATCCCGAGGCCTGGCACGGTAACTGGTTGAACGGACGAGTCCCAGCTTGCGGGGCGCCGTCTCGCCTGCGGGTGGGGCTGCGGGCAGCCCGCCGGGTGGCGGCTTCAGCCCCGCCCTCGGGACGCCGGAAGGGGAAGGGCGATGGCCGCCGCGAGCGGAAGTGACGTCACGTCGCCGGCGGAAGGGGCCTAAGTTGAGAGTCGGGCAGAGCCCTCTGGCTGCGTCTCGGCGTCCCCGCGGCATTATGGAGGGCGGGGATGACGGCGAGGGCGAGGACATGGAACTGGGGAGCACAGCCTGCCATCTGCCAAAGGGTGAGAATCTGTGCTCTGCGGGGAGTGCTCCGCTGTTCCAGAGAACTACCACTTTCTCGGGAGGAGGCGACGCTGGGGACGCGTGCGGCGCAGGGAAGAGGTGGTTGGGGGGCGCTTAGTAAATACGCAAGGAGTGAGGGAAGGCGTTGGGTCCCCGGGGAAGGCTCCATAGGTCGGGATGGAGCAAATTGTTAAACTGTTTATTGGGTGTTTATTGGGCCTCTTCTATCTGCAGGCACATTTCAGCTGTTGGGACACTAGTGAGTAAAGCCTTCGGGCAGCCTACTTCTCAAGACAGTTAAAGCCCGGCCCGGTGGTGCATCCCTGTCATCCCAGCACCTGCGAGGCTGAGACAGGAGGGTCGCCACGACTTTGAGGCCAGCATGGGCTACATAGTAAGACTCTATCGCAAGGGGGGTTAGTTTAAAAAGGCGTACGATTATATAAAAAGGATATAAAGCCCTGAACTGTACACTTTAAAAGGTGAATTTAATGGTGTGTGGATTTCTAAAAAGAAAAAAAAGGCTGTGGAGAGAAAGTAGGGAAGGGGTTGCAATTTTAAACAGCAGAGAAGGCCTCCCTGGGACGGTGACATTTCAACAAAACGTTGAAGATTGTGTGCAAAGGATCTGAGGTGGGAACACACCTCCCTGCTCAGGAACTGCTAGAGGGCAAGTGGACTGGAGAGGAGTGAGAAGGCGGTTGCTGGGAATGAAAATTAGAAATAATACAGCAAGGGCTGGGGATTTAGCTCAGCGGCACAGTGCCTGCCTGGCAAGCGCAAGGTCGTGAGTTCGATTCCCGGTACTGGAAAAAAAAGGGGAAAAAAAAAAAAAAAGAAATAATACAGCAGCCTGTTATATGGGAGCTTTTACTGTGAGCAGATGGAAGCCATGTGGAGCTTGGAATTCAGGGTTGCTATGGTGTAGTTTGTGTCTGGGGTGAGAAGAACAGATTTAATGCCTCTTGGGCTGATGCGCAAGACTAGGGTTGGGAGACCTGTGTGGAGGTTGGGGTGTGGACAGAGGAGAGAAGTGCTGAGAGCATGAGCCAGGGCCACCAAGGGCCTGTGGGAGAAACGTGTGAATTGGTAAGAGGGTGCAAGAGAAAGTATGAAGGCTTGGTTGACCTCTGACCCTACAGCTTCTCTGCAAGCGAGGCTACAGGTTGCCGAAACAGCTAGTGTGAGATGTGAGTGTAGAAGCAGTGCAGCCTGTGCTGCCTGGGACTTACATAATGATTAGTCCAATGGGGGTGTTGGGGAGGACCAGATGTTGAACAGTCAGGGAGGGGCCAATGTCTTTCCTGCGGGGAAGGTGTGAGCTGAGTTGTGTGGCCTCCCCCTCCCCACACTTTTGCAGGGATGGCTGACATGTCGTTCGAGGAGCTGTTGGAACTCCAGAGCCAAGTGGGGACCAAGACACAGAAAGAGTTGGTAGCTAGAAACAGCACTAAGAAGCCAGGTGCTAGAGGGTCTGCCCAGAGTGCTTGTGTTGCAGATAAGCACAGGTGAGAGCCGGGCCTGCCCCAGGAGGTGGAGGTACCTAGTGTCACTTGGGTAGCAGGTGGGAAAACTTTGACCACGTTGAATTCTTCTGCCTTTTTTCCACAGGCCTCTGGAAATGTCAGCCAAGGTCCGAGTGCCGTTTTTACGTCAGGTTGTCCCCATCAGTAAAAAGGTGAGGAAAGGTTGGGAAGCACTTACTCAGTGAAAGATGACTGAGTGGCCCATCTGATACTCTCTCAACTCTCTGAAGGTGGCCCGGGATCCCCGCTTTGACGATCTGTCCGGGGAGTATAATCCTGAGGTGTTTGACAAAACTTACCAGTTCCTGAATGACATCCGAGCCAAGGAGAAAGAGGTGGGCTGCCTAAGGCTGTTTCATGGGGGTCTTTGGGGACAGGGTTTAGAGATGGGCAGAGGGAAGGAGGAAACATTACTTTCTGTAATTTGTTTCTCTTGAAATTCTGCTTTATCGGTTTTCTAGCTGTGTGACCATCACAAGTTATTTAATGCCTTTGCTTCAGTTTTCTTTTGGTTTTGTTGGAAAGTTTTGTTACCTGTAGATTTTTCTTTTCTTTTTTTTTTTGGTCTTGCTGTGTAGTCCAGACTGGCCTTGAGCTCCTGAGCGTCCTGCCTCAGCCTCCTTAGTGCGGGGATTAATCTTTTAAAATTGACAGTAGTCATTGTTCGTACCTGGAGTGTGGCCTGGCATTTCAGTACAGTAGTACCTTGGTTCACGAATGATTTTGTTTGCAAACAATTTGGTTCACAAACAAAAGCATTTGGCAAAATTTTTTGTTTGCAAACTGCATTGGGTGACAAACACGACCATGCCCATCTTTTCCACATAAACACAAACATGGCCATCTTTTCCAAAATTGTAGAACAGGGCTGGGGATTTAGCTCAGCAGCACAGCGCCTGCCTGGCAAGCACGAGGTCGTGAGTTCGATTCCTGGTACCGGAAAAAAAAAACAACAAAAAACAAAATTGTAGAATAAATTAAGTTTGTTAACCGAGGTACCACTGTACATGTATTTGGTGGGTAATATTCAGATCAGGGTAATTGGCATATCTGTTACTTCTAGCATACGTCAGTTTTTTACATAAGGAATACTGAGAATCCTCCATCAGCTCTTTTGAAATATTCCTTTGTTTCCAGGTGTAGAGGTACAGACCTGTTATGCTAGCACTTAGGCTGGGGCAGGAGGATTGCTGCAAGTTCAAGGCCAGCCTGGACTGCATAGCAAGACCCTTTTGTCAAAAAAAGAAAGAAAATTGTTGTTGTTCTCTACACCTCGAGTATCATCCCTTCTATCCAGCTGTGTCCTGGTACCCAGCAACCCTCCTCTTCCCACCGCTTCTTCCCACCTCTCCCAAGCTCTGGTGACCATATGGTGTTCTCCACTTCTCTCTGACTTCTGGGGACTGGGGTTTGAATTTAGAGCCTCACACATACTAGGTGCATGCTCTGCCTCTTACTAATGGCCTTGGCCCCTGTTTGCTCCTTCTTTGAGATGAATTTCAGTTCCACATAACAAGTGAGAACATGGTATTTGTCTGCATGACTTATTTCACGTAACATAATCCTGCGTCAGTTTTCTTTTTTCTTTTTTTTTTTCCTTGAGGCAGGGTTCACTGCATAGTGCAGGCTGGCCTTAAACTCATGTGTGGCCCAGGCTGGCTTCAAACTCATATCGATCCTCCTGCTTCAGCCTCCTGAGTGCTGGGATTACACGCGTGTGCTACCATGCCCAGCTCAGTTTTCTTTCAATTTTTTTTTTTTTTTTTTTTTTTTTTTTTTTTTTTTTTTTTTTTTTTTTTTTTTTTTTTTTTTTTTTGTCTTTTTTGAGACAAGGTCTCACTATACAGTTTAGGCTGACCTTGAGCTCACTTTGTAGCCCAGTCTGGTCTCGAACTCACAACAATCCTCCTGCCTCAGCCTCCGGATTACAGACATGCCCCACCACGCTCAGCTCTTTCAATTTTTGAAATGGTCTCACTGTGTAATCCAGGCCAGGCTTAAACTCACTAGTCTAGGCTGGTCTTGAACTTGTGATTCTCTTGCCTCAGCCTCCTGAGTTTTGGGATTATAGACGTGTACCATTGTGTCTGGCTGGTTCTAATCATAAGGATGATATGAGCTAATGTAGCTCAGCAGTAAAGTGTGTTTAGTATGCACTGGGCCCTGGATCCATCCCCAGTATCACACATACACATGGGGACAATGAAATTGCTGTCTCATAGCCTCTTCATGTTAGTTTTCATGAACTTTTGAATAACACTTGACACAGAGTTTCAGCTGACAGACACAGAGCGCTAACTGTCTTGTTTATTCTGCAACATGCAGCTTGTGAAGAAACAGCTGAAGAAGCACCGGTCAGAGGAGGAGCGTGGGAAACTTCAGCAGCTTCTTCAGCGGCTGGTAAATGGGTGATGTGGCCATGGGAAACAGTGGAAGGCAGGGTGATCAGGACCCCCCCCAATCATCCCATCTCATCTGTGCTCCCCAGGAGCAGCAGGAAGCAGCCCAGCAGGAGAGGAAGCGGCAGCAGGAGCTCCGCTTGGCCCTGAAACAGGAGCAGCGGGCTCGGGCCCAGCAGGGCCATCGGCCATATTTCCTCAAGAAATGTGAGTGGGGTGCAGCTCTGGCAGCCTGGCTCCAGGGATGGGGTGGAGGCTGGGTCAGGGAACCATTTGGGGTCAGTGATCTCTTCTAAGGGTGGCATGAAGAGCCAGGTCTGGTGGTGCTCATCTATAATTCCAGCACTAGGGAGCCTGAGGCAGGATTGCTGAGTCCAGGGCCATCCTGGACTACATGGTGAGTTCAAGGCCAGCCTGAACTGTATCACAAGAACCTGTCTCAAAAAAAGAAGGAAACACTAGATCCTGTGGTGACTTGTAGGAATTAGGGAAGAACTATTTGTAACCAGTCTTGAATCTCTAATTCAGTTAGGCAGAGGTTGTTGCTCCCAGCTCCCTAGCCCACATGTATGCTGGGCCTCATACAAAGTAGAAGGAGCTCGGAATTGGTTCAGCTGAGTGACAGTGGGAATGGATGAGAAGATGGCTTAGGCTGGGGTGTAGCTCGGGGTAGAGCGCTCATCTAGCACATGCAAGGCTCTGGGTTCAAGCAAAGCCAGTTGGTGCCCATACAGACTGGTGCACGCTAAGCAGCTCATACCCCAGCCTGGGGAACAGGAGAGGGCAGCTTCCTCTTTCTCATCAGCTTGTTTTTTCCCTGCCATCCAGCTGAGCAGCGCCAATTGGCCCTAGCGGAGAAGTTTAAGGAGCTGAAACGCAGCAAGAAGCTAGAGAGTTTCTTGAGTCGAAAAAGGCGTCGCAATGCAGGCAAGGACAGGAGACATCTGCCTTTGAGCAAAGAGTAACAAGGAGCTCTTCTGTCTGCCACTGCCCAGGGAGCTGTCATTCTGCGGAGCTGTTGGGGCTGGCCTGTTCTGCTGGTTCTTTTCTGCTCAAGGGTGAGGATCCCAGCTGCCCTGGAACTAGATTGGCTCAAACAGGAGGGGTCTTGGGTGGCCCTCAGACTGGAGAGAAAATGTTACTCAGCTGTTGCCGTGCCACACTGCCTCTACGTGGATCCAGTCATTGTGTCCTCCGGTCCTCCTCCTATCTTTGCCTTAACCCAGTAGTTCTGATGCAGAAGCAGGGGCCCCTTGGGATCTGTTCATATAGGAACTGCATCATTAACAATTCTTGTTCATTAAATCGTCTTTGTATTACTCTGCTGTTTTTGTAGAACACCTGGAACTGCTGTTGTCACTACAGCGGCATGTATGGGTTGCGATGTATCGGTTAGGCAACCAAGCCCAAATCAAGTAAGAGGCTACGCCTACAGATTTAACCCTGGGTCCTGTGCCGGGCATAGTGGTGCTTGCTTGTAATCTCAGCACTCAGGAGGCTGAGACACGAAGATTGCAAGTTCAAGGCCAGCCTGGGCAACTTAGAGCTTGTCTCAAAATAATAGAAAGGAGCAAGGTGTGGTGATCCATGCCTGTAATTCCAGCTCTCTGGGAGGCTGAGGAGAGAAGATAATGAGTTTGAGTCCAGCCTGGACAACTTAGGAAGACCTTTCTTAAACTATAAAAGAAGATTGAGGATATAGCTCAGGGTGAAAGCCATATTTTCAGTCCCCAATACCATAGATAGGTGATAAGGAAGAAAGGAAAACGGATGGAAAGATAAACGGATGGATGGATGCTAGGTAGGCCAGGGAGGTAGCTCAGTGGTAAACCACCCTTGGATTTGATCCTTAGTTTTTTTTTGTTTTGAGACAAGAGTTTCACTATGTAATTCAGGCTGGCCTTGAACTCATGGTGTAGCCCAGGCTGGCTGGAACTCGAGGCAGTCTTTGCCTCAGCCTCCCAAGTGCTGGGATTACAGCTGTGTGCCACCATGCCCAGCTTGATCTTAGAATGGTCCTCTTGAGTTGGGTGGTCCTGGAGGTACCTGCTGGTGCTCATGACAGAAGGTGGCTGTGCTTGAACTCGGAGCCTGTCCTGGGTTCCAGATCAACCAGAACAGAGTTGGCTGGTTGAGCTGTGTGCTGAGGAGGGCAGGCAGCACAGGAGGGGAGGTCAGGGACACTTAGATTTGGGGTCTTTGTCCAGTGTAGAGGAGCAGGAGGCACCTCTGGGTGACGGGCAGGTGGCCTGGGAGTGCTTCAGGGGAGGTCAAGATGGGCCTACAGCAGGGGCAGCACTGCGAGAGGTGGCAATGCAAGAAAGTCCCACTGTGTTGTTGCCGTGCTTGCTGGCCTGGCCACTGACGTGCACAGCAGGGGACAGAGCTCAGAGAAGGCAGGAAGCTGGCACTTCCATATACCCTCAAGGATAAGAGTATAGTCCAGACTCATGCAAGTCCATGACCTCTGCTACAGAGATGCCCAGGTGCTAAAGTGCAGTGACCCTGGTGCCCTGAGCCCACTGCTGCTCCCTGGCTGCCTCTGCTCCTGAGGGCAGCCCTGGATCAACAGATTGCCACCTAACATGGGGCAATCAGCCCCACCCTGTGACTCCCAGCCCTGGCCGCTTTCCCCTCCAGGCTGTCTTCCAAGTCCAGCCTTGGGTGGTGCAGTCCCTTCTGTCTCCTGTGCCCTCTCACCACCTGACTCTCCTCTCAGCTCTCACCCTGCTGGGCCGTGAGAACTGAGGGCTCTCCTCCCTGCCAAGTGGCCCTGCTGTATGCAGAGCTCTAACCTGGCACTGGGTGCCCTGGCCTGGGTTGCCTCAGTGCGGGTGGCAACAGGGCTTACTGAGGTAGCAGTCCAGGACAGCTCACCCAGATGGGGCATGGGCAGAGGACAGAAGAGGGGCAACTTGGAGGAGCTCGTAGGAGGAGATAAGTGAGCTAGGGCAGTCGTGATGGTACACATCTGTAGTCCCAGCACTCAGAAGGCTGAGGCAGGAGGTTGGCAAGTTCAAGTGTAGGCAGGGCAACTAAGTAAAACTTGTCTCAAAATTTTAATAAATTTTAAAAGGGGTGGGAATGTAGCTCAATGCAAAGGCCCTGACTTCAATCCCCAGTGCTGCAGAAACAAAACCAAACACCTGAGCTAAAGCTACAGTCCTTCCAGTTCTGCCTCCAGCCTGCACCTACCAGATGGATGACACACCTGGGGAACACTGCCTCAGTTATTTTAGCCGGGCCCCCCGTGGACCCCCTGTGGTCACCCAACGTACATGCCTTACACTCAAACTCATTTTATTTTCATAGAAATAAAAACCCCAGCCCAGGGCTACCGGAAGGTGGAGAAGCTATGGGTGCCAGTGCAGGAGGCATAGGGGACACCCCGGGAACGAATCTGGAGGGTGTGGAAGGTGAGGGGCGGGTTGGGGCCCAAGGATCCGGGGCTCAGGGACTCAGTGTGGGGCTCCACTACAGTCACAGGGACGGCATAGGACAGCACCTGTGGCCGGGTGTCATGACGTCTCAGCGTGCCTTTGCCCAGCAAGTGTAGGATGGAGGAGAGGACATCAGTGCTGCTGCAAGTGGCACCCTTGCCAAGGTTGCTGATCAAACCCCGGGGAGGGCACGGGCCTTTCTGCCAAGCCTCCAGCACCTGGCACGGAAGACCAGAGGTGGCTCAGAGCCAGGCTTACCGCAGTTCCTGCCGCAACCACATGCTCCTGGGCCACAGAGCCCCAGGACACCATTGCACCCGACCTCACAACACACACTGCAGGCTGCAGGTGACCCCTGTGACTGCTCCCCATGCCCCATGCCCACCGCACCAGGCAGACAAGCCGGTCGATGTGCAGCCCCTCATCGCCGTGGGCCTTGAGGATCCGGACAACCAAGCAGTTCAGCAGGTTCCGCCTCTTCTCCAGGCTTCGGCCCTCTTCATCCTCCACCTCCAGGTAGGTCTGAGGTGGGACGAGCCACACGCTGCCCCACCTTGGCCTGGGTTCGTCAGCAGCGTCTCTAATCTTGAGCACCCCTGAAATAAGCACTAGTCACTGGGGGGGCCTGGGAGTCTGCCTTGACTTGGAGCAGAGGTCCCTCCAGCCCTGGGTGCGCACCTCCCGGGATGTCCTCCTGCTCCTGCAGGTCCAGAGGGCCTCGCGTGGACGTGAGAGGCCCAATGGCCCGATGCAGCAGGTGCGAGGGGAGCCCTGAGTGCGCCAGCAGGCTCTCTACGGACACCACCTTGGGGGAGAGGCACAGAGCATTCAAGGCACCCCAAGGGTGGAGGGAGGACACAGAACAAAAAGTGGGGGATGAGCAGGAGAGGTCACAGAGGAGGGGCCAAGCCACCTTCAGATTGTTGAAATTCAGCAGCAGCCACATCTGCACAGTGGAAACGTGCAAGGTCTGGTCCCCAAACTGCAGCTCAGCACGGCCCAACCACGTCCACTCCAACTGCCGATGCAGGCCTCCCTCTAGAGCAGGCTGGGACTGACCTGGAGAAGGCCAAGGAAGGGGAGAGGAGGGACGGAGGGAGTGGGTGCCAGGCTAAGCTTTGTCCCATTCATTTCTGCAGAGCACCCAGTAGTTCCTGACTCCAGACCACATGTCCCTGGGCCTGTGCCCTTGGCAGCCTCAGGTGTCTGGGACCCACCCTTGCCTAGTCCCATGCCAGGCAGGCACCCGTCAGTGCCCTTTTTTGGTTTTTGAGCCAGGGCCTTACTACATAGTTCAGATTGGCCTTGAACTCGTTATGTAGCCCAGGCTGGCCTCAAATTTGCAGAAATCATCCTGCCTCAGCCTCCAGAGTGCTGAGCTTGTCACCATCCAGGCTCCAACTGGCCACAGTGGCCACTCCAACCCTGTTCTCTCCCCAGGTCCTAGGCCCCCTGCTTGGCCACTCACTGTTGTGGTAGAAGTTGGAGTATTGGTTCAAGGTTCCCCTCAGGTAGGAGGGCAGGCACGTTTTGGGGTTCAGCATATGGCAGATGGAGGTGACAGGCCAGCAGCGTGGGGACAGGACGAGCACAGACACTTTTGGCATCACCCCTTCATAGTAGAAATCCTCATTCTCTTCCTCCTCATCCTCCACTACAGCTGCAGCTTCAGCTGCCCTCATGTCCTCCTGCTCATGTTCAGGCTCCTGGCCACCGCTCTCCTGGCCCTCCTGAAGGGGCACAGTGTTCGCCTATGCTAAGGGACTGCTGCAGCTGCGCCGGGCGTCCTTCCTCCTTCCCTTTCGTTCATTCCCTCCCTGGCCCCACCTGCAGTTTCCTCTCTGTGTCTTCCAGCTTCAGCAATTCCTCATCAAGCTGCTGCAGCTGGTAGACATGGAACTGGCGCTGCAGTTCCTCCGAGGTGCGCAGGCTCCGCAACATCAGCTGCGGGAGGCGGTTCGGGAAGCAGAGGCCGATCTGCTCCAGCACCGCCCCCTCCAGCCAGCTGGGGCCCAAGCTCAGGAGACGGTCAGCCATGTAGTGCCTGCAACACAGGCCCAGCCTCAGTGTGGGTGCCAGTTGGGCCTAGCCTCCCAGCCTACCAGCTCTCAGTCCCCAGGCCTGCACTCACTGGTAGTAATGCTCAAAGGTGGTAGCCACTTCCAGGCCAGAGAAAACAAAGGCCGCTTCCAGGCACCTCTGCAGCTGCACCAGTGTCTCCATGCCCTGGGCACCCCCAACCCGGCTGTTCTGGATCCGCTGGTCGATGTGCCGGGCAAACTGCTCGCTCACCTGGATGTTGGGCATGCACAGAAAACCCTATGGGCAGAAGCAGTGGCAGGGCCTAGGGACGTGGACAGAGCTCCTAGCAGCCCACCTGCTGGTCAAGCCAAGGCCTTGTGTATACTGAGCACACACTGCTACGGAGCTACAACTGTAGCCTAGTCAACACAGGCAGAAAATTGTTTTATAGAAATATTAACACTTATTCAAATTAGCAATATGAACAACTCAGAAGTTCACACATACTGTGTCTCAAAATCAGGTAACAAAGCCGGATGTGGTAGGACATGACTGTGGTCACAGCACTCTGGGAGGCTAAGGCAGGAAGACCACCAGCTTGAGCTCAATAGACTGACTTAGTGAGACCCTGTCTTAGTGACTTAGACCTGGTCTCAAAAAAAAAAAAGAATAGAAGAGGGGCCTGGGTTCCATCCCAAGCATCACAGGGAAAAAAAAAAAAAAAAGAAAAGAAAAGCCAAGGAAATCAGTCTACAAAGTTAATAGCATTTTGCTAACACTGTTAACAACTGGGGCTGGGGATTTAGCTCAGCGGCAAAAGCGCCTGCCTGGCAAGCGTAAGGTCGTGAGTTCGGTTCCCGGTACCGGAGAAAAACCAAAAAAAAAAAAACACTGTTAACAACCAACTAAAATACATTTTTTTAAAAACAAGATAGCTGGGCATGGTAGCACACACCTGCAATCCCAGCACCTGGGAGGTTGAGACGGGAGGATAGCAAGTTGGGACCACCAGTCCTAGCTATCCCCGCCTCGTCTTCTTTTTCTCTATTGTTCCCATTTTCAGCAACACAGCTCTCCTCAGGGAAAGGGAACATGGGTGGGTCACTGAGGACAGTGGGAAAGGAGTCTTCAGGGAGGTCTAGAGCCAGGGCCTTACGTGTGCGGCTCTCAGAAAAGGCAGCTGCAGCAGGGCCCCAGCACAGCCGCTCTGCAGTGCTAACAGGAAGGCAGCCCGTGGCCCAAACAGCTCAGAGCTCGACTTCTGCAGATTGTAGAAGCGCTCACAATAGCGCTGGACAAAGTCATCATCCCGCCAGTGCAAGGTCAAGAAGGCGTTCACCTGCAGAGAGGGCCCAGCGTGAAAAGGCAATCAGTGACCCCAGCACCCTGGCCTGCACCTGCACCTGCACCTGCCTCACCTGCTCTTCCACCACAGCGCGCCAGCAGCGCGTCAGGTTCCTCAGGATGCTGCCCGAGAGGCCCCGGGTGGCCGGGGAGCCCCAGTCATGGCTTCCGCTTCTACCTTCTGTGGAGACAGAGAAGGTAAGGAGGCAGGGAGGGGCACCCAGCTCCCTAAGGGTGCCCAGGGCTTTCCTGACATGCCACCAGCAGCAGAGGGATGGAGCAAGGGAACCTGGACTCACTGGGCCAAGGGGCGGCCGCGGGCTCACAGGGCTCCACGTGCACCAGCAGGTGAGTGAGGCGACGCACACGTGAGGAGAAGGCAGCTGCGCGGCTCTGAGGATTATGGGCAGCCTCACGACACTCCAGGTACTGGTTCAGCAGCCAGCCCAGCGCGCTCACACCATCCTCATCTGGAAGGCCAGAAAAGCAAGCCATGTATGGCTTCCCTCCTGGCAACAGGGTGTGGCCAGGCTGGACAGGTGCAGAGAAAGAACCACTGGACAGAGAGGTGTAAGGGAAAGGGCGGCAGGCCTAGCCTGGCCTGTAGTGTCAGCTGGCACTTGAAATATGGGGGAAACCAGCAGGCCCTTCTCCTTGGGGTGGGACAAAGGGTGATGAACCCAGGTGTCCAAATGGCCAAGCTGCTGGGCATCGTGGTAAGGCTTATAATCCCTGCACTCAAGGAAGCTGAGGGAGGGGGATCACTGCAACTTCAAGTCCAGCCTGAATTATATAGGAAGACCCTGTCTCAAAAAAAAAAACAACAAAAAACCCAAAATGTTCAAGAGCATAACCCTGGGGTTTCTAGGGGAAAGCAAGGAGCCGGGATGTTACCAGGCGAGGTGATGTTCTGCACCAGGGGGCTGACCAGGGCCTCCCAGCAGGTCTTGCCCAGTGCCCTGGCAGCCTCATCATCAGGGAGGAAGCGATCAGCAAAATTCTGCTCCTGGCGCAGAGTGCCATTGAGCCTGGGGAGGATGATGGAGGAAGAGGGTGTGAGGAGCTTGCAGGTTAGCTGCCTAGTGTGTACCCTGCCAGCTCAGCCCCCACCCCAGCCCAGAGCTGCACTCATTACTCAGAACTCGCATGGACTAACTGGTAACCCCACTCATATCACATGGCCATTTCTGTCCTCTCTTCCCCTTCCCAAGTTCATCAGGCCAGATCTCTTGGCCTCCCTCCCTACAGCCCATTCCACCAGCGGTGCACAGCCAGACATGTACACACCTGGAGCTCAGGTGCAGGAGGCTCCTACGATCCTCAGCTATGTCCTGGCTCCAGGCCTGCGCCCGAACCATGTAGAAGAGACGCGTGTGGCGACACAGCAGTTCCCGGAATGCTGGCCAGAAAGTGGGCTTGGGGCCCAGGACCTCTACACCCCGAATGCGTGTGTCGATGCCACCCTGGAATGCACACAGGCTTGTCACCACTGACCCCCAAGCCAGGCTCTGGATCCACCCATCTTCCCTCACCCCAGGCTCACCTGCTGGCAGCGCTTTATGCGGATCTGGAGGATAGGCCAGAAGTGGGTCAGGTTCTCCAACAGGATCACCCGGCTGGCACAGGGCATCACATTCACCTGCAAGGGACAGAGAGGGCTATCGCCTCTACATGTGTGGATGGGAATGCTCTGAGCACCCACATCAGCAACAGTCCCCTTTCCGTGTCCCTCCCCTCCCCAGCTCTGGAGCATGGGGCTCTGATGCCTGCACCACAGCTCTGGGCCTGAGGCCATCACACAGGCCCAGGGACAAAGGACTCCATCCTCTGTGGGGCTCAGGGAGTTCAGTTAGGCTCAGGATGGCTAATCCTGGGAGGGTGGGTTAATGGCATGGGAGCCCCTACCGAGTTGAGTTCCGTGTTAAGAGAGCTGGTGGCGTTGCCCCCATACACTGCCACCAGCGCTGGCATGTAGCTTGCATCCTCCCTGGCTACCAGAAGAGTCAGCTGCCTGGGGATGGGGAAGAGGAGCTGGTGGGAATGGGAACTGGTCATGTACATGCAGACAGGGGACTCTGGCCAAAGCCAGAGGGGCGGTGCTCCCCCCAGCTGGAAACACAGGGAGACAAGAGAGAGCCTGGGTGTGAGGCTCACACAGGCACATGCACAGGGTACCTGACAAGGACACCTTGGCGCATGTGCAAGGTGATGTGGTGGGAGCCGGAGTTGCCACTGGACTCCCAGTAGGTCTTGGGGTTGCGGTCCGTCAGCTTGCTGGCCCGCTGCTGGTTGGAGGACACCTCCACCTTCTCCCAGCACCTGTCCTCTTTCATGTCCACACTGGATCCTGGCAGGCAGGAAAAGATGGTCAGTAGAGAGGGGAAACGGTATGGGCACGGGGACGTTGAGCAACTGGGGACGGGCACAAACCCTGGCAGAGATATCTGAGAAACACGTCGAAGAAGGGGACGTTGATGGGTCGGTGGGTTCGCCTGTGGTCTTCGATCTGGCCCAGCACCATCTGCAGCAGGAACACAGCAGAAAAGGGCTAGGAGCGGAGGGAGGGACAGACACACAGAAATGGGGTGGGAGACTCAGGCTACAGTGTAGGGGGAAAGAGTCACCAGCTGCTCCCAGCCTCAGGAACACTCCCTCCCCACTCGCTGCCTGGTGCTATGTTCTTCTGCAGCTCTGACCCTTAAGCTCAACCCCACCATTCCTCCCGACCTGGATGCAGCCGCCTAGGACGTTGGTGATGAGGTTCTGGTAGAGGTGTGTGTGCTTCTCGCACTTGGACACAGCGTCCCGCAGCTCCGAGGCCAACTCCAGTTTTCCTGGGTGCTTCTCCAGGGCTGTGGAGATGGCGTCCTGGGCTCCCAGCTGGTTTAGCACCACGGCATAGTCCCTGCTCCCTGAGGTCAGGCGGTGCAGGAAGATGATGAGTTGCTGGAGCACCTGGCACAGGGACATCACAGGGGCAGTGAACGTGGGGGACAAGGTGCAGGCCAGGAGGGCACGGGCAGTGGTACGTGTGCACTGGGAGTGCTGCGGTGGGCAAGCCTGAGAGGGGATGTGAAAGGACAGGGATGGGGCAACTTAAGAGAACCAAATCAAGCCAAAGGGAAGGAGCCAAGGCACCCTGTGACCCATTCTAGGCCGCTGAGTGGGAGCAGGGGGAGCCCTGAGTTCTCAGCTGGATCCTGGTATACCAGAACCCAGAAGCAGGGCTGTTTTAAGTTGTTCAGGCCCCAAGGACAGACACCTAGAGGACAAGGAGGGGAACAAAAGGACTGGGTTCATGTGTGCACCTCAGAATCTAAGATCTGGGTAACAGCCAAAGGTGCGGACTGCAGATGACCCGCCACCATGATCCCAGCTCTCGGGCCCTTCTGGAGGGTACCCGAGGGCACAGATGCAGGCGAGTGCGACACTTCCCAGTGTGTACCTTGTGTTGTTCTGGTTTATGAACCACAAGACTATATTACTTATTTTAAAAAATTAAATTTGACTTTAAAAGCAAAATAAACCAAGAGCACAAGGGCTGTGTGGTGCCCTCCAAGCCTCACCCAGGGGGTCGCCTCACCAGCAGCTGCCCACTGTCCCCTCCCCAACCCTGCATGGCCTTGGGGCAGGCCAGGGTACCTCACAGTCAGTGTTGGGGGACTTCAGACAGGCTACACAGGCATCCATGGCCTCATGCCAGGGCAGCAGCAGAGCCTCAGGGAAGTCCGCCAGCCGCGTCAGGATTCTGGGACAGGGGAGGGAGGAACAGAGGTGTGCATCTGGCCGAGGCCCCTCACCTCACCCCACCCTTGCCCCAGCCCTCACCTCAGTGCGGCCAGGTGCAGGGTCTTGTTGGTGGCTGGAGTGTCCAGGCTGCGCAGGAGGGCGAGGACGGGCTGGGGCTGCCTCTGGAGCTGGAGCAGGCACGGCCTGACCTCACCATCCTGGGGCCCCAAGCAGCCCAGGGCTCGCTCAAGGTCTATGAGTAGTTGCCCAGAAGGTCCCAAACCCTCTGCCAGGCACTGCAGGGCACCAGGGCTCTGAGAGTGGGACTCTTTCTCTGCAGAAAGGGGGTGTCACAAGAGTTGGACAACATTAGTGATACAGAGACACAGAAAAGGACAGGTTGATGCCTAGCTCTCCAGCTTTGTACTAATTTCTCCTAAAAAAAAAAAAAAAAAATGATTTTTGACTTCTTTGCTTTTGCTGATGGAAGTCAAACCCAGGGTCTTGTGCACACAAAGCAGATGAATTGCATCCCTGGCTCCCAAGGTGTTTTTTTTCCTTCTTGTCCTCCTAAAAGTTAATTTTAGGGATTT